TCCCTCCCTGCTGTCATCACCTCCTACAGTGGAGATGACTTGGCTGGCACCTAAGCCACTCATGCTTGGCTATCCTGGGGTTAGGATCCACAGGAACCACCTCTGACCCTTTGCCTTGTAAACCTGGGGCACAAGCCTATACTGAATCTTCACAACCTCCCTGCCATCAGGGAAGAGGTAAGTTGTTACTGGCTCTGTGTATTTGTCATGGATGCTGCCCCGAGACCGTTATGGCCACACAGTAAACTCCACTGTGGGTCTCTGCAAAGCCTGACTCACTGGGTTTGGGATGAAGACAATAGCTTACTCCACACTTTCCAATTATTAGGAGTCACTAGGCCCTAAGGCTTTCTCTAAAATTCCTTCTAAACTCGCCCCAGACCTTCTTCGAAGCATCTCTTGTATGTGCCAAGATGGGTGTTGGCTGAGGCACAGATCCAGTCTCTTCAAAGTCCTGCTTTTCTTTTTTGAGACAAGGTTTCTCTGTGTAGCCCTGGCTGTCCTGGAACTGGCTTTATAGATCAGGCTGTCAAACTCAGAGATCCACCTGCTTCTGCCTCCCAAAATGCTGGGATTAAAGGCGTGCGCCACCACTGCCCGGCGGAGGCATGATCTATTAATTCAGATCTTTGACTGGAACCTGGAGCAGAAGAATTCCATTTTATCCTCTGTCACCCAGATTTGTTTTTATGAACTATACAGAAGACTTGCCTGGCATAGAAGACACACTCAGCAAATGACAATCCTGTATGATACAAACCCAGTGGCTCTCTGTTATTACACATTGATATCAGAGCTGTTGTATTTGCTCTTTTTAAAAATGCCTTCAGAGCTTAGAACCTTGAACACTATGCTTGTGCATATATAGTTATGTGCTATTGTGTTCAGTGGTGCTTTGGAGAATAGGCTGTTTCTCTATCTTTTGTCACCCTAAGTGTTTTCAAAGCCAGCCACACACCTGCTTACCCTCACTTTCATCATCCACAATGGAGCTGGCTCACAGTATGTCTGGCTCTTCACGTAGGACTTACACGGGGTACTGTCTGGGCACTGACATGCTAGCATCTACACCACAGTTTTGAAAGCACTGGCACATGCTGGGTTGTTCAAAAGGCCACCCCACTCATAAAGCAGTTCTCATTCTAAGCTCATCACAGATACTTAATATTACTAGCAGAACTGTGTACTTACTGATGCACATTCTGGCCTCTACTTCCTCTCTTTTCCTACTAGCAGTTTTCTGGACTATTTCTTTATTAGCCTTGTTTCCTTTGGTTATCCTGTTCCTAATCATAGCTATCTAATGGCTACTCCTAAGCAGTTCATTCTCAGCTTAGAGCCCATTAGTACCCAAACACACTAGCAGATAATCTAGCTTTACCCAATTTTCTAGGTCCATCTGCTGCCACCAGGACCATTCAGCACACTGGTTTACACCTCGGGTTTCAAGTACATTGCGTGCACTCCTCTGTGTCTGTGACTTTGCTCATGACACTTAGTTTGGAGTGAATATAGTATCTGATATTCATAGTTCATAGTCTCTTGGTAACTATTAATCTCTCTCTTTCCTTTCTTACCTATCTGTAAAAGATCTTTCTCAATCTTCAAGGCCCAAGTCAACTATTACCCTTTTCTATTCATAGATCTTTCTGTGCTCTTCCTCCTTTGACTATCATTGGTGTTCCTCCTCTGGTCTTCCCTTACAAGCACTTGGTTACTGATATAGTCATTATTTCTCCCCATTTCTACTGCTAGAGTGAAATTTCCCTGAGAGCTGTCTTGCCCGTTATCCCTGTCACAGCCACCAAACCCTGCATCAGCCTCAGACCCAGTAATGTCTCGTAGACATCTGATTGATTTGGATTGCTTTTGCCAGACTGCAGGATCACAATGCCAAGCCACGAGGCAGGCCTCAGCCTGTGCTCATATTCATTTATTATTCATACCCCTTCGCTTCCACAATTGAAAGAGGTGGCCTCATTCAATAAACTGTTGGACTAAGCATAGATGATGTAGGACTCTACATGGAAGAAACAAAGTGCCGGAGTGCAGACCTTCTTCTAGGGGAACTGATCTTGCTGATGAGAGCTGGAACTGGGGTCCTCAAGCCCAGATGCCACCAGATGCCACCACACCTCCTTACAGACTCACTCCGGTTTTTGTTTTTTTAAATGCCTAAAATGTAACAAGAAGAATTTAGATTACTAGCACATATCCCATGCTAAAGGTATTTAGACCAGTGGTGAGGACGGCATCTTGGGCTTGCTGTGTAAAGGGGTTTCAGCAGAGATGACCTTGTTCCTGGGGATAAATTTGAAAAGCTTATGCCCTTCTTCAAAGTCACTTATATAGCACAACTGTAAACATGTATAATATTTAGTCCGCAGCTTCATATAACATTCTGTATATGGCTTTCCAGAGTGTCCCTTTGATTCGGCCACTGGGGTTAACTTAAAAGGTGAACCAGTGATGTCATTCAAGTGGGAAAACCTTCCATGAGTTGTGAGTTGAGTGTGAACACTACAAACCCTGTAGAACACCCACATCCTACCCTGCCACCACTTTTTAAAAAACACATCTCACCAACATTCTTGTGCAGATCGGCTCTGTCTATAGAGGGGCTCACAGGCTCTGGTTCCTCTCTCTCTCTCTCTCTCTCTCTCTCTCTCTCTCTCTCTCTCTCTCTCTCTCTCTCTCGTACTGATAGTCTCCAATAGCTTTTCATATCTCGTGTACATACTTACTTATGCAGTTCCCCTTTCTCTTGAATATCACACACACACACACACACACACACACACACACTATGCACTGGCACACAGATTCTTGGCTTCCCCATATATGATATGCAAGCATACTCATAGACAGACAAATTCACATACACATGCACACTCACCTTCATACATACAATAGCATACAGGTTCTTGGTCCTCCCACATCTCATGTACACACATGTTCTTAGGTACACACACATTCATACATGCACTGGCAGTCTTCCTGGCTCTTCTGAATCCCACATGCACACACAGCCCATGCAGAAAGAGAAGCCACAGAAAGCTTCTCATTTCTGCACCTCACTTTTCCCCCAGATTTTGCTCCCTTAGGACAGAGCCAGGAGTGTCTGTTTAATAGATTCAATTACTTCAGGCTCCAGAGACCTTCCAACTTAATTCTGATTGCATTAAGGTGTCAGATAATTTGGAAAGAAAGGGAAAAAGACAGCCTCAACATCTTGACGGGGAAGTCTTCCAGACACTTGTCATCCTACAGAGGTAGATAACAAATAATTATAACTTTGGCAGAGGTGGTATGGACAACAGGGAGCTCAGGGGTCAACGCCTCTCACACACCTTTTATGCGGGTCTCTGGCCTAAAGGACAGCAGCTTCTGGGGGAGTAGCTTTGCTGCTGTGCTCTGGCTGCCAGGGAAGGAGGGACCAACTAGCCCTAATCTGCTGCTCTGACGTCCAGGCAGCAGCTTTTCACTGCAGCCTACTCACGGGTGATTTTCTTTTTCTGGAGGTCCGATGTGACCATAATAGCCCTTGAGAGGTTGATAAATAATCAAAGTTAACAGTGCTTGGGGACCTAAGATCAATCTCTAGACAGAGAAGGATTTAAGAGTGAACACATGCATATCACATGTACTGCTGGGAAGCAGAGGGTGAAGAACGTGGACTGGGAGCTAGTATGTGAATGCTGGCTTCACCAAGGACTACCTGTGCAGCCTGAGCAGTATGCTTGTCTTCTCTATGCTTCAGTTCCTCTGCTGGAAGAAAAAAAACAAAAACCAACCAACTAACCAACCAACCAAACAAACAAAAAACCCTCAGTATTAGTGCAGTTCCTAGGCCAGTCCTTAATGAAGTTATTTAAATCTCACTTAGCAAAGCCCCAACTTCTGATAGCTCACCAAGCAGTCCGTTTATCATCATTATTGTATTTGTAGTTTATGGGGCAGACAAGACTAAGACACTGGAATAACCCCCAGGGCAGTAAGACGGGACCCACCCCAAGCATGGGAGTCGTTACCACACTCCTCCCAGTCCTGCCGGAATATTTCTCCATGGAGGCTTTTCTGGCTATCTGGTGCTGCTGAGCCAAAGGTACACTCGAGGAGTGTATAAGGTCTGTGTTCATCAGTAGTCCCTTTCCTGATCCCCATCATGAGGTTCAGGCCGACCTCTCAGCCTCCTGCATTGCTGGGTACCCAGCCTCTCCCTGCTTCCAACTAGCCCTATTATGGATCTTCCACCCTTCCTTCCCCTGCCTGTTATTAAATGTGGGTCCTAGGCACAGCCAGGACCTCAACAGCATTCAAGGTTAAGAGGATCTTTCTTGAGATTTTGCTGCCCTCTAAAAGGGCTTTGAGGGATGGGAGATCCTGGTTCAATTTCAGCTCCAACATTTCCTTGCTCCTTGCCCTTAGGTCAAGCATTTCTCAGACTTTATTCTCTGGGAAATAGGGATAAAATATTTGCTTCTCAAAGCTGTTGTGCCTGTTAATGCTCCAACTTTATAAGGGCCTGGTATGCAACAGTAAGCAGAACTCTTCTCTTGGTTGTAGAAGCATAGACGGGAAGTGTCAGGTCCAAAAGAATGACCCAGGCAGAGGAAACACACTTACTAAACTAAAGATCAAAAGGTTCTGGAGGCAGGCACATGAAATGGGAAGTTGAGAAGGAATCAGGGACTCAGTACTCAGACCAGAGGTTTCCTGAGTGAATTCAGGATAAATCTGAGATAGTCAAGGACTGAGGGATAGCGGAGGTCCTAGAGGGAGAAACTGGGGCTAGGTGACAGCATCCTTCCGGCAGAGAATGTTCATCCCGCGCAGTCTGCATCCACGGGTCGGGGTGGGGTCTCCGTCGGGGCGGGGCCAGGGGCGGGGCGGCGGCTGCCACGCTGGGCTCAGCCTGGGGTGCGAGACCCGGCGCCTGCGGTGCGGACTGCCTCTCCCGCCTCCGGCGCGCTCCAGCCCGCGCGTTCCCGCGGCCCCGCGCACTCCCGCCGCTTCTCCCTCCGCGCTGCACCGCGCAGACAACCGCTCTGGGAGCCTGCAGCCGGGGCCCTGGCGTGCAGAGAGGGCCTCGGCGGGGCCCAGCGGTCGGGCCCGGGAGGATGCGGCCCGGGGCGGCCCGAGAGTTGAGCAGGGTCCCCGCGCCAGCCCCGAGCGGTCCGGGCCACCAGAGCCGCAGCCACCGCCCCGCCCCCGGGAGACATGACTTCCAAGCCGCATTCCGACTGGATTCCCTACAGGTACGCGGGCCCGGCTTCCCCGGCTCCCGGGCACGGTCAGACCCCCCATTCCAACGCTGAGGGCGGGGGGGAGGGCGGGAGCGCGAGGCCAGGGCACCTACCACCCCACCACCCCCCGTCGGGATGCAGCGTCCGTCGGGGCCATCTGGCCTGGAGGGAGGGTACTGCTCCCGGGTTCACCGGGAGCGCGGGTTGGAGGTGCTGGGCTTTTCCATCCCAACTTTGAGGGCCTCTAAGCCACCTGCCCTATTCCACCCGCCTCTACATCCAAAGGTTCTGAAAAGATCTCTAGGCTTGTTGAGTCGGGTGGCACATGGAGAAAGGAACTGCTGTGAGCCAGCCGTCTCCTAGGCCCAGCACCCAGGACATGCGTCTGGATAGCTTGTGCGCACACATCCCTGCATCTTCACGCTTGCACACACAGAGCATCTGCGCTCTGGGCTAAATATGCCCCTGCTGTTCAGTTCATATCCCCAAACCATGGATTCACTGAGACGGTTAGAACCCAGGCCACATGGCAGCTTACATGTACCTCAATTTGGGGCTTGCACAGGTGCATGCATTCAAATCTGTGCATATAGGAATACACCATATTACCTACTCATAAGTTCTATTCAGTACCTTTCAGAGATTCAGTAGTAACCTTCTTGTTAGCGGGATTAGCTCACAATAGAGAGAATTGCTCTCGCATGCTCATGTGCACTCAAGAGCATTGACCCACCTCCTATTCCTGGATACTTGGTTGGACTGGCCTAAGAGAGGTTCTGGTTTTCTTGTGTGGGTGGTGGGGGAGGGGTGGTCTCCAGCCTCACACAGGTGCAGGCCTTTCTCCGTCCACTCTACTCAATTCTATTACCAGGGAAAAGAGCTCATTGCCATAGCAGCGCCGCATCCGTGGCCACTCATTGGCTCTCTAGTTGCCAGGGGCTACAGGCTGTCTCTAAAGCCTCCTGAAGAGGCATGTGTGTAAAAAGGGTGCTGGACTGCTAAAATCCACTTTTTATTGCTGACCCAGGTGCATATTCGTTGGGTTGCAGAATCAGACACTCAGGACCCACGTAACCTAGGCAAGGATGCTGAGTCCAGTCACTGAAGCAAAGTGATTCTGACAGAGCCCTTCCAAAGAGTCTGTCCAGATAGAACCTCAATTAGAAACCAGCTCGGATTGCCCGAAGCTTGTTAAAAAGCGGGTCTTTCTACCAACAGGCACCTGTCATAGGCCTGGGAATTCGGGGATTTTCTTGAGAATAATTACTGCCTCTGAGCTCAGCTTCTGTGGGGGCTTTTTGAGTTATTTTCTGTCTTCCCACCAACACACACAGAGACACATGTAGACAGAGAGTCATACACAGGCTCCTGCAGACATGTGAGCCCACACCTCAGTCTCACATGGATAAGAGAGAAAACTCTAATTGGGAGCTGGGCCCTGGGTTGTACTAACTCAAAAGACTACGTGCCCTTGACATATATCCGGGATGGGGGTGCAGATAGTGTTGGGGCCATTCTCGTATTTTCTTGATTCATGTGCAGCCTTACTGAGTATTTCTGACCATTAATCTTCCAGCAGAGGTGGAAGGCAGTGCCGATGGTCTGAACAGACAACAGTACTGTGGATGTATCTACAAGGGGATCAGTTGTTGGGTAGTGACCAGCCGCAGGCTACACCATGACTGTGGCAATAACGAGATGTTTAGATTTTGCAAAATGGAAGCCTTGGCTGGTTACGACTCAAGACTGATTCTACCAGGGACCCAAGGACTGAAGCAACTTGCAAAGCTTGTAGAGAAAAAAAAATCTACTTCAAGCTAAGGAGGGTATTATTCTGCTCCTAGGAAAAGAGACCTCTGGAAGGTAGGATTATCTCTGAGAAATCTGTTGGAAATGCCCAGGGCATTGGTATCCTGAAATGGGTGATTGGCACTCAACCCAACCCAAACCTAACCATCCCCCATTCTCCCTCCCACACTCAGCTGAGAGCACAGAATCCTGCCACCCTAGAAGCCTAGCCCGGAAAGCAGCTTGGCACCCTGTGGCCCACCCTGCTTCCTTTCTCCATTCCCGTCACCTCCCTTCTTGTTCTGTACAGTGGGGAGGGTGGGTATTCAGCTGGGGGTGGGCTGTCATCAGAAGGATCCTCCTCTGCCCTGTTCAGTCATTCTGGGTATGTACAGAACCTGGAAAAGCACTGGGTTTAGGAACAGACTTCCTAGTAGGGAAAACCTGTGCTGTGAGGCAATTCAAATGACCCTTTGCATTACTAGGCTGTGGCAAAGCCAGAGGTCTGTCTGGTGGCAGAAAACTGGGACAGAAGACAAAGCATATTCTCTTGGCAGCTGGGCAGTGGGCAGCATGCATACACGTGCTTTGACTAGCATGAGGTTTCCCTGATGCCACAGCACACCAGACTGGAATGTGGCGCACGGGGGAGAGAGACTGGCATGTTAGCTCTTCCGAAAGGGTCTTCCCCCGCCCCCATCGTTGCATCCTGAATTCCCTGGGCTCAGCTCATTTTTCTCAAAGCAGTGATAGTTGGTGCTAATCTTCTTAGGAGTAATTTTGGCTCAGTTTCTAATGATCATGGATTAAGCTCACATTCTGACTTAAAAGGGAGCCATTCCATTTATAAAGATCAACCACTAGGGTTATTTTTTCCCCATTTCTCTTTACCTGTATTCTTGGAGAGTATTAGATGCCTGTAATGTATGACTCTGTGGCTTTTTATAAGTTGTAGGTGGGTAGAATTCCAAGGAAGGACTGTACCTTCAGGCATGTCATAGGCCTGTGCAGTTGGTGGTTGTGTGTGTGTGTGTGTGTTAGTTTATGTATACCACATGCATTCAGGAGTCCATGGAAGCCAGTAGAGGGCATGGGAGCCCATGGAACTGGAGTTACAGGCAGTTGTGAATAGCCGTGTGGGTGCTGGGAACTGAACTCAGGTTCTCTGCCAGAGCAGTAAGCACTTTTAAATGCAGAGCTTTCCCTTGAGACCCTCTTCAGTGTTCTTGCCTGCAGTGCCCAGGGTTTCCTTCACCAAATCATGAACTCCTTGGGAGCAGGAACCTCATGTGATGTCCAGCAGAGCGTCCAGCACTACCCAGCATGGAGGAAATGCTACCTCTCTAGATCAAAGTGCTGTCAAACTTCAGACAACTTCTAGGGATTCCTCAACTTCCTGGTCCCATCACAGTGAGGCCTCCTGAACCCCCCGAAAGGTACAGCTCCAGCCATAGAGAATCTCAGGCTGCATTGCCCTCACAGGCCCTCACAATTTCTTTGTTCTACTAGTTATGTATGTATGTATGTATGTATGTATGTATGTATGTATTCCTGCCAAACATCTTCCATCAGCCAGTTGTGAATGGAAAGCTCTTCCTTGGGTTGAGTCTAAGCAACTCTTTGGGTTTCCTGTCCTTTTGGCTCTTGTTAGGCCCCCCTCCCCCCACACACCTTCAGTTCTGCTGCCAGGTTTAGCCTCAGGTTCCTAGTTTTGACAATCTCAAGCAATTCCTTCTTGAAACTGCAGTTTTTATTTTTTGATGATTACCACCTGTGGTTACAAAAAGTCATTTGCATAGCCGATTATTAGAGGACCCCCATGGTACTTCCTTAGAAGAACAAAATTGTTTCTGGAGCATGTCCCCCCTGCCCCCATGCTCCTCCCCTGGTATTTCTGAATTACCAAGCCACCAGCAGCTTTAACTTACCTAGTGTTTGGGAACCCTTGGCCGGAAAGGAGATGGCTCACCCCAGAGGTGAGAGCTCCTCTCCACTTATGGAACTGCCCCCATTTCCAACCAGGTGCCAAGCAGCTGCTAGGCAGCAGGAGCCACGGATATGGACGTCCCTCATTCACGCATTTAGCACAGACTTCCAGCCTCGTACTCCGGGTTGCTCGTCCTTATAACCCATTGCTCTGGTTCCTAGGTTCAGAGCAGCTTCTGCTGTGACTGAGGGAAAGGATGATGTGGATAGACAGGGTTTACAGGTTGTAAAGTGAACTTGGATACAGACGGCTGAGGCTTGTCTACATTGCCTGTACCTGTGCCTCTGCTTACAGAGTAGCATGCAGAATGTAGAAGGACGGAAACAGGTTTCCTAATAACAGTGCTCATACTGGGCTTTCCCAGCCCACAGTAGAAGTTCCTAGACTGATCCCTCCAGGGTTGAAAGTGGCTGTAGATAGCTTGATTCTATGGGAGTTGAAGTTGCCACCTTTTTGACCCTGGGTAGAGCAGCCAAACTGGGGGATTCTGAAGACTGGAGCCACGACTGGAACATTCCTTGGTCTTCTAGGTCTGGCTGCCAGTAGGAGGTGACCATAATGAAGGAGCCGCCAGGGTCAGCTGGGAGACCCATCCATCAGTGTCCTGTCTCCATCTGAGCTTCCTGGCGGGGCTGCAGCTGGCAGCCTGGGCTTGGCAGTGATTCCATAATTGGAACCAGTGTCATTAAAAAGCCATTAATGTCTCCTTGAATGGTTATCATTTAGTGCAGCCTAGAATGGTACCCATCAGAGAGGCAGGCCTAGGAGGTGTTGTGAGAAAGACAAACCCCCAGGAGTGGTGCCGCAGTGGAGCCAAAGAGGCAGGGCTGGATGGGTGGGGGCAGGGAGGGCGCTTCTGTTCTGCTCTCCCCTGAGACAACTGTCATTATTGTCACTGTTCTTCAGTACAAGCTGCTGTGCTGGGGATTCTTTTGTTATTCACCAGGGAGCTTGTCTATGCCCAGATGCTTTGTCCTTACTAGAATACCCTTCCAGTACAAGCTTGTCACTGCCCTGTGATTGTGATCTTCCCACTATCCTCACAGCTCTCTTAGAAATCTGGCTTTCTCTGTGTTACATGGATGGGTTCTGCCTTTCTCTGTGTCACGTGGATGGGTTATTATAGGACCCCCTCCAAGCACCTTGCTGGACCTAGACGGGACCATTCCTCAGCCACACCCCTGCAGTGCCACCATTCTTCGTGAACATACCTGACGCCGAGTGAAGTGGTGGGTGGCTCTCTGGGCCCTTCTGTATAGCTGTGACTTCTAGACTCTCTCAGACACTCTTTCCCTGTGCTCACCTTTCTCTGAAAGTCACAGTTACGTTCCTGCATACAGATGAGAGGAGAAAGACCACCAACCCAAATCATGGCCAAATTAGTTAAAGCAAGCTTTATTCATGTGCACGGGCTGTCTCTCCCTAAGGCAGGGTTCAAGAGATCCACACTGGATGTAGAGAAGATAAGGTTTTTATAGCTCAGGAGTAGGGAGTTGCAGATGGGGAATGCTGGCAGGCAAATAAGTGGGGAATCGCAGAAGCAAAACATAAGCATAACCAGGTGGTCGTAACAACCTTCTGTAACAAAGGCATGGTTGCAAGGTGGTAGTGATGAGGTGGTTATAACAAGCTCTTGAAACAAAGGCATTTGTAGTTAAGGTTACAGGCGGGGGTAGGGAGCATAGCCCAGTCCTTGAGAAACAGATTTCATCATAAACAGGAATGAACCTAGTTTGTCTTTAATGGTTTATCAGCCCAAGATGGAGGCAAGCTGGTTTATCACTACTTGTATCTTAATATCTGCTAACCAATGGTACTAAAAACCTATGGCTCAGTGTCCCTCTTCCCAACCAGGAAATGTGGAGATAGTGGGAGAGGAAGGACTGTGCTCATGGAAAACAGCCTCTGACCCCAGACACAACTGTATGGAAAGTCCAGGGCTGTGTGACAGTTCCTGTGACAGGACAGCACCTCCCTGTGTGGCACTGGGCAGCGAGGCTACCACTTCCAGAAACATCTATTGTTACCAAGCTGCCCTGGGAGTCTCTCTTCCAGGAGATGGCTTTGCTGATGTGCACCTAGATGTCTCTAGAAATTTTCAGTGGCACCGAGGAAGGCATATTCTTTGTTATGCTTAGCCAAGACCAGTACCTGGAATGGTGGCTGCCTCTGTCCCCAGCACTGTGCTTGGAATGAATGTAGCCTGTGATATACTAGAAAGAGGTAAATATCCTCTCCCACTGGCACAGAGGTGAATGCTGACCTGTGGAGATCACACAGGGACTTCTGAGGCCAGGTTACCAGCATACAGATGCAAGGATCAGAGGCTGCCAGGCCCAACCAGAACATCTCTGGATTTCAGACCCTTCAGCTCCTGCCAACAGGAATCACTGGATAGAGCGAGCATTTTTCACCCATTTTCTAGAAGCAGCAAGTGTGTGCCGCTGTGGACCTTGGTGGTCAGTGAGGCTTGGGTATCAGTTGCTGAGAGTGCTCTGTCCTTGTGTCACTGATGTAAGTAGTAGAGTGGTGGGCAGCTGTGGTCTCCCAGGTCTTTTGAGGCCGTTGGTGTCTTGATTTCCTGACACCTCTGCTCTTTCTAGAGACCTAAGATACTTCTAGGTCTCTAGAGGTGCTACACAGGGTCAGTGTGCCTCCCATGGCAGGATGTCCATCAGTTCAGGCACAACAAAGTTTTAGGCAGCTTGTTGAGGCCTTGCGTCCTGGCAATGCATCTATGAGCACCGGATTCAGCTGTGCTCTTGGGAAAGCAGGCTGTCTGGGCAAGACTGAGACTTAGAGGCTTGTCTTTGAGCTGTTCTCTCCTGTCTTCTAATAGCTGAGGGTTTGGTAAGTGAGACCATTTTGCATGCAGTCCTACATCACAGTTGGGGCTCCTCACAAGTCAATCCAGGGGTGCTAAAAGAGAAGGCCTTCTACCCAGGTGTCCTGTATTTGGGAGAACCATCAGGTAAAATGGTGTATAAAAGTCCTGGGTGACCAGGAAGGCAAGTGGCAGTGGGTGACTAGCTCTGCAAGTAATTTAAGGGGCATATTGGTTCAGCTGTCAAAAGGCAAGCAGGGCTTTACCTCATTTTTGGAGCAATTTTGACCTTGTCTTTTGCCGTTTGTTTTAGTTAGGGTTTCCATTTCTGTGAAGAAACACCTTGACCAAGGCAACTCTTATAAAGGACAACATTTAACTGTAGCTGGCTTACAGGTTCAGAGGTTCAGTCCATTATTATCAAGGCAGGAACATGGTAGCATCCAGGCAGGCATGGCTCTGGAGTAGCTGAGAATTCTGCATCTTGTTCAGAAGGCAATGAGGAGAAGACTGTCTTCCAAACAGCTAGGAGGAAGTCTCAAAGCCCACCTCCACAGTGACACTCTTCTCCAACAGGCCACACCTCCTCCAACAAGACCACACCTCCTAATAGTGCCACTTTCTGGGCCAAGGATATTCAAACCACCACACACATCAAGCATATTCAAGCCATCCACATGTATATCATACTCACCTTTATATAAGCAAGCCTACTTCTTAACACAAGTGTCTGCACACTCTTGCACACATACATGGAAGCTACTCATACACTCCCTTACAACCCCCCCCCCCCCAACACTATGCACTTGTGCCTACTTGAGCATGTCCCCGCCTGCTGGTTCAGCTGGTCTCCAGCATATAACTATGAGAAGCAGCCTGGGGCTTCCAGAACTCTGTGCCTCAGGTTTCACCCCTGGCGGAGTTGGCATTTCATAGAATTTGGGCTTGAGGTGTCTTGATCTAGCAAGAAAGTTAAGTGATTTAAACTACCAGTTCCCTGTTACATATTCTATGTTCTTTAAGAGGCAGGACAGCATGTGTGAAAAGAGGCTCCCTGACGTAGGACTGGTGGGACTCAAGGATCTGATGCCCTTGGTACAACCTCTGCTGTGCCAGTGGCCAGGCAAGGGCCAATGGTCATCTGCTGTGCATTGCCTCTACCCTGCAGTCATTCTTACCTAGCCCTGGCCATGTCCTGGGAAAACTGGTTGGCATTTTAGCCTCTCCAGATGAGGATGCTATGTCCTCTTTAGGGGAGCAGGGGCTGTGTCAGTACATCCCCTAGTCTTGCCTAGGAGCCAGGAATGTAGGATAGGGAGATGGTTTGCCCCAGAGGACCCAGCTTTTTCCAAAAAGGATGGGAAAGTGGAAGAATCAGATGACAGTAGTAAACTGTCGGAAACAAGTCCTAGCATGAAGGCCAGCCTTCTTGGGGTTGGCTAGTAGTGACTGATGCCCCTGCTTAGGCTCCTCTGGTTGTCACTTAGGCCTGGCCCTGCTAAGGGAATTGAAGGGGTTTTCATCCTGTTCTTAACCAGGGCCAGGCTAGTTAAGAAGTTCTTAGGAGTAATGGAGGAGGAGGAGCTTCTAACAGGGCAGAAAGATGGCTTGGCTCTTTGTTTTCTGTTTTGTTTTGTTTTAAGACTGGGTCTCACATAGCCCAGGCTGACCTTGGACTCCTGTGCTCCTGTCTCAATCTCCCTAGGGCTGGGATTTAGAGGAGTGATGCACCACACTCAGTCTTGAAGGCTTTGTTTTATTTGTGCTGGGGATCAGACCAGGACCTTCTGCATACTAGACAAGGGCTCTACCACTGAATGACACCTCTCCCTTCTTGTCTTGAATTAGCTCCTAGATATCAGACTCCATTTTTTTCTCCCTTTACCACATGAATTCACTGGGAACCGTGGTAGAGTTTAAAAGCCGGGGCTGGGTTCTAGACCACCTCCTGGAGCCTCTCTGGCCAGCCCTGAATACTTTTTTCTCCCTCTGCAGTGTCCTAGATGATGAGGGCAGCAACCTGAGGCAGCAGAAGCTCGACAGGCAGGTAAGTGAGGCTAGGGCTGATGGGAAGGCAGAATCTCAGCTGGGGTGTTGAGGAGCAGTGAGTCCCTCTTCCTTGGTTGACCCTGTCTGATGAGGTAGAGAATGAACCCTCTTCTCCTTTACCTGGTCTGTGTTATATTAACCCTACCCCAGTCCTTGCCTCTTCTGCCAGGCTGGCAGCTAGTCAGAAGATGCTAGTAACATGAGTCCTGACCCAGACAGGGCTAGAGACCCTAATACAACTTCTGGGACCCAGCCAGGTGATCAGGGTGCTCCTTTTGGTGCCACTGTAGTGGGCCAGTCCACCTGTATGTCTACCCTGTGCCTCTGCAGCGGGCCCTGTTGGAGCAGAAGCAGAAGAAGAAGCGCCAAGAGCCCCTGATGGTACAGGCCAATGCAGATGGGCGGCCCCGGAGCAGGCGTGCCCGGCAGTCAGAGGAGCAAGCCCCCCTGGTGGAGTCCTACCTCAGCAGCAGTGGCAGCACCAGCTACCAAGGTACACTCTGTCTCTGTCCCAGAGACAGCCAGCCTAGGGAATCCCCTGCATGGGGTGCCATACCCTGGGGGTCGGGATGCTAGGGGGCTGGGGGACTGAGGGATTCATCCTGTAGGGTTTGCCCAGGCTGAACATTGTACCTGGTTCAGGCTGAGTGAGGCAGGCAGAGAGACATCATTAGCCTTGGAATCCTGTTTATGTTCATATTGCACCTCCCGAGCCAGGTGGTTACAGTGATGGATCAGGAGTTCCAGGTTTCTGATCTGATGCATGTCCCTGAGATCCTGCACCCACTAGCATTCTCTCCTGAGAGGATTTCCTCTTCCATTTTCCTGCCTTACATTGCCTAGGAGCTCCTGGGTCACCTGCCTCTTCCTCTCTGTGCTCTTGCGTACTCAGTATGTCTAGCTTCTGACCTGTAGGTTGCTGTTTCTAGCTGAGGACTCCTTCACTTACCCTTACACTTACTTACACTTAGTTTTCAGCAGAGGCCAGTCTGTGGAAATTCATCTACCTAGGCATGGTTCTTTTGCACCTGGGTGCCAGAAGGTTTGTGAGAAAGAAGGCAGGAGATAGGCAGTAGATGGTTTTGCTGCCCTCTGCAGGCTCTTGGTGCTAATGCAGGGACTCACAGAGTAAGGGCGTGACATCAGAGCTGACACTCCCTGGAGATGTTTGACCTGTTGCCAAGCTCATCTGTGATACACAACCATGAATCTCCTGTGGCTGTGGGTGCTGAGTGAGCATCAAGGTGTGGGCTCTGTTCCCACGGAGCTTCTGGTCTAGGTGGGAGAGAATGTCAGCAGGTGGTTACAGTTATAAACAGGCCGTGTGAGGAGAGCAGGGTCCTGCCTCTCATAGAGCTCCCAGGAAATCAAAAGGAAGAATCAGTTAGATGGGAAAGATAGTATAGGCGAGGACCCCGTAACATGAAAGGAGTGTGGTTCATACAGGGCACTAGGCCAGCCTGGTGTAGCTGGAAGCATGCTGGGTGGCAGAGTGTGGTGAGATTGAGGAAGGAGATGGGGAAGCCTACCAGGAGGGAGGCTGCTGGCCTCACAAGCTTTCAGAAACTGTTCATACATTTTGAGCAGATTGGGGTCTTACTATGTGGAGAACATGGAGGGCACCAGCTGTGCCTTTCCTGTACTTTCCTGTTGGTATACCTAGCTCTGTGTTACAGAGGTTCTCCTCCCTTACAGTGGATCCCATGAGCTCAGCACCCAAGGCCTCAACAGGCTTTCTGGAGTGCCTGTCTTGGCTGCAGTCTCTTTCAGAATATGCAGGCTTTGTGTCCTTCCCACCCTCCATGGCACATCCTCACCCCCCACACACCCCCACACACACCGTATGTGCCCAGGCTCAGAACAGTTGGCAGAGCCCAGAGCTTTGGTTCCTAGATGTCAACTTTTGTGTAGTGGGCACAGGGCCCAGCCTTGACCGTTGTCTGGTTGAGATGACCAGGTTGATGCTGTGGGTAAAGAGCCATACAAGGGCGGAGGTGGGAACCATGGTCAAGTGGGAGCTCTTGATCTCACCCAACACCCGTTCTTTTCTTTCTTGGGTTCTCTCCTGAGCAGTTCAGGAGGCCGACTCGCTTGCCAGTGTACAGCTGGGAGCCACCCGCCCACCAGCACCAGCCTCAGCCAAGAAAACCAAGGGAGCAGCTGCGTCTGGGGGCCAGGGTGGGGCCCCGAGGAAGGAGAAGAAGGGAAAGCATAAAGGTTAGTCTGATTTCTCCTCACACCTCTCAGAGGCCTGGCCTCACTGCGGGGGGTGGGGAGGGAGTCAGAGCTTATCCTCCTGACTTAAGGTGGTATAGTGTGAGCAGTTTCATCGAATGTGACCTCAGGGTGCCCATCAGCGGCACCTTGTCTAGTTCATGAGTACCTTGGCTAGTCTGTGGATGTGGAGGGCCTCGCTAAACTGCCAGGAAGTAAAACACAGCTAAGCTATAGCTCAGGACGACCAGTTTCCTCCCAGCCTACCTCAGCCTGACCTCCATCCATCTAGTCTTGAGCCAGGATGTGCCCTTTGGCAGAAGCTTCCTGCCCCCTAGAGTTTGCTGCCAGTGCTGCTTTATCATGTATTTAGTGGCAGAAACAAGACCTTGCCCATAGGTGGCAGCCTCTCCGCTTGGCTGAGCTTTGCTTAATATTATAGCCAGCCCCCAAAACCCAGAATCCTGACACCCCACTGTCCAACTATGACACAGTAGCCTTTAGATGACTCCCATCTTCCTTCTCTGTCACCAGGACTCGGATAGACCCACAGACCAGTACATTCCCTCTGCTCCTCAGTTTAACAGATCCCAGAGATCAATGAAGGTGACGTGGCCACTTCCCCAAGTCCTGTTTCCTGGCTACTGTTTCTTCAGTCCTTGTTCATAGCCATTGATTTCTAGGCTACTGTGTCATAGTTGGACAGTGGGGTGTCAGGATTCCTGGGCTTTGGGGGCTGGCTATAATATTAAGCAAAGCTCAGCCAAGCAGAGAGGCTGCCACCTATGGGCAAGGTCTTGTTTCTGCTACTAAACAAGCTGTGGCCCCTTGGCAGGAAATGTAAAGAAGCCAGACTCTGTAAGAGGATGCCAGGGCGCATGGGATGGGAGACCATGTGCTCAGGAAGCTGACTATATGTGAAGATAGTCTTTGAGGGAGGGCTCTATCTTTAATGATGTGAGCGTACTGAACGCGTGTGAGTGTGTAAAGAGAACACCAGTATGTGTAATGTGTAACTGGCTGTGTCCAGGAAGGACTGCTGCCTTCAACTATGGTTTGGATTGATCTTGTTTTCTGTCTTGTTCTTTCTACTGTGCAGTTGATTTTGTAGATAGTTGCTGTCTGTCTTAAGGATGTGGAGTATTTCAAACTAAACCCTGCAGTTATCTGGGGGGAAAGAACAGAAGAAACGAAGCCCATGTCCTTTTACAATTTACCAGTTATTAACAGGATGACAGTAGTCATTAGTTTTTACACAGGGTCCTGCCATCCATACCTTCCCCTTCATGGTCACCTGAGAATCCAGGCTTCCTTCTCCCTCTGGATGTAACTCAGGAGTATCTGGCCTGCAGGCACCAGCGGGCCAGCAACTCTGGCAGAAGACAAGTCTGAGGCTCAAGGCCCAGTGCAGATCCTGACTGTGGGACAGTCAGACCACGACAAGGATGCGGGGGAGACAGCAGCCGGTGGGGGCGCACAGCCCAGCGGGCAGGACCTCCGTGCCACGATGCAGAGGAAGGGTGAGCCCCATGGGGGCCCAGCTGGGACCAAAGCTCAGTCCCAGGTTCTCTTTTCCAGGAACACAGCTCCTTCTGTTTGGTCCAGCCCTTCCCTGGATGTGGGGGAGGAGCATTCTTGGAATTAGATGAGAAGTTTGGGGCCAGGGTCCCTGATAAGGCCAAGTCAAGAGAAAGAAGTGTGAAGTAGGGTAGCCTGCCAGTAGCCTAACCTGTCTTTACCTCCCATGAGGGCTAGGTTTACACATAGATTTCTTTTTCCTTTCGCCCTTTGAAAGAAGCTGTCCATTTGTCTGATGGGAAGCAGGGCAGGTCCTCCTTGGAAACCCACTGCCCAATTTGTCTGTCATGAACCCTAACCCTAGGGAATCCTGAGTATAGTCTTGTAGATCCATGCCCATTATAAGGAACCTACTAAAAGACTGCTTCATGGGGAAAGAACTTTAAGGCCCCTCAGAGTGGCATTCTAGGTCAGGCAGGACAGCTGAGATAGGCTCAGGGCAAGCAGGGGAAAACAGAGTCAGTCCCACCCACAGACTGAACGAGGGCATGAGAGAACCGCGTCCGAGTCTGTGGCCTCTGCAGTCCGTGGCCTTCAGTCGGAAGTGGAGCTTTCCTGTTCAGGTCCAGCTTAGCTTGGGCTCTGATACACAAGAGATGGGGTGATGTAACTGTGAGTGAAGAAGGGGTGTGAGGTAGGGGCTGAGCTGAAATTGGGTGGTGGGGATGTATCCCTAGGAGAATTGTGACAAGCCCCAGTTCATGTGTGCACCAAAGAGAACCCATGTCCTTGTATGTGTCTGGATGAGTGGGAGGACAGTCATGTGAGGGTACGTGAGGTGGCTGTGTGTGTGTCTGCATGTAGGTGAGTCAGTGGCTGAATGTGCATCTACATGGGATCACCTGCATTCTCACTGTAAAGTGTTTGTGTGCTCATCCCTGCCTGTTCTCTGCTCACCATAGGCATCTCCAGCAGCATGAGCTTTGATGAGGAAGAGGATGAGGATGAAAACAGCTCTAGCTCCTCCCAGCTAAACAGCAACACCCGCCCTAGCTCTGCCACTAGCAGAAAGTCCATCAGGGTGAGTGAGGAGGAGCCTTCATCCCCTATAGGGGTTGTTGTCAATAGTTAGCACTGCCTATGGGCGCATTAGTTTGTTTTCTGTTGTGATAAACACTGACCAGAAGCATCTTGGAGAGGAAAGGGTTCCTTGGCTCCCACTGTCAGGTCATAGTCCATCACCAAGGGAGCTCAAGCAGAACCTGTGTAGGAACAGGCCCATGCTCTGTTAGCCTTCTTATACAGCTCAAGCCCGCCCACCTAAGGATGGTGCCACCCTCCAGTGGGCTGGGCCCTCTCACATCAAGACCATCCATCATAAACATGGCCACAGGTCAGTTTGATCTGGACATACACTCCTTTCACCCCTGCCCCCCTTCCCCCCTTCAAGTCAATAAAGTAGGACATGAAGTAGTTGTGACATCATGAGGTGCTGGTTTTCCTTGGGCTGGGTGTCTATGTGAAGCTTCTCTAGCTGGGCCCTTCTGCTTCTCTGATGTACCTCCTATCTCTTCAGCAAGGTCAAGGAGCTAGAGTGTGGGAAGAGCTGGCCTTGGGCAGGATGACTTCCTGAGAACCTGCCCTTATCTCTGACTCCACCTCCAGGAGCTGCTGAGGAAAGGGATAGCTAGAAGATAGCTGTCGACCCTGGAGCAGTATGGCCACACCCTCATCCCAGGGGTCCTGCCCTGACCCTCTCCTTCCACTCACTGAATCGGGAGGCAGACTTTCGTCCTAGGCCAAATCTCAAGCATAGAGTCCTTTTGATTTAGGTTTCTACTCTCCTTTTCCATAGGAGGCAGCTTCAGCCCCCAGCCCAGCAGCCCCAGAGCCACCAGTGGATATTGAGGTCCAGGATCTAGAGGAGTTTGCGCTGAGGCCAGCCCCACAAGGGATCACCATCAAATGCCGAATCACTCGGGACAAGAAGGGCATGGACCGGGGCATGTACCCCACCTACTTTCTGCACCTAGATCGTGAGGATGGCAAGAAGGTGAGGTTCCTCTGGGCGTGTATTTTCAGTTTGAAGGCCCAAGGCTGGAATATGAGGGAAACCCAGTTCTGAGACGGACCTCTTGGTTCTCCGGGAAGTAAGCGTTTTGTGTAGACTTAGGAGCTTACCAGTTCTTGTGTGTTCGCCTGGGGGCAGGGGGCAGGGGGCAGAGGCTGGATCTTTAATGTTATTTTGCTTTACTCTTTAAGGTGTTCCTCCTGGCAGGCAGAAAGAGAAAGAAGAGTAAAACTTCCAATTACCTCATCTCTGTGGACCCAACAGACTTGTCTCGGGGAGGCGATAGCTATATCGGGAAATTGCGGTACCGGTGTTCTGTGTGGAAGGCGAGGGAGGGAGGGGACTGGCAAGTCTTCTGATATCTCTGAAGGATTCTGCCCAGATTTGAGTCAGAGAGGACTAGGCTGCTCCAGGGTGTTGGGTAATAGGCCCAGTGTGAGTGACAGGTCAAACCAGGATGTTGACAGTGATATAGTACACAATGGAAAAGTTGCTTCGGGTCCCTGGTCAGAGCCAAGGGAGAGGCCTGCAAAGAAGTCCTGAGGAGGGGAGGTGGGGAGGCCTGAGTGAGGTCTCAGAGGAACAGTAAGTAAAGGCATGAACAGTGTAAGCTGAGCATACCCTGGGCAGGACAGACACAGCTACTGTCTGCGAGGTGCCGGATGCTCTCAGGCCCCCTACATACCACTCTGCTTACTTCCAGAAAAAGTAGTGCCATTGTCCCCTCAAAGAAACCTGTGAACATTGACTCCCTGGATTTATTTCCTTCTGATATGAAAGTCAATCCTTTGAGTTGACAGCTTGTGGAATACTTCCACTGTGTCCTCAGTCTGCCCTGGCCCCTCCCATGAATGCTCTGTAGGCTCCTTGTAAGAGGAGGGGCTATCCTGTGCCATGGGAAGAAGTATGTAAGCCTGTTGGGTGTGTTGTCCCTTCAGGTCCAACCTAATGGGCACCAAGTTCACCGTTTATGACAATGGTGTCAACCCTCAGAAGGCATCATCTTCTACGCTGGAAAGTGGAACCTTGCGCCAGGAGCTGGCAGCAGTGTGCTATGTGAGTCCTCAGTTCCTAGACAGCCATGAATCCAGGCCAAAGTGCCTGACTGGGGGCTGCCCCATTTACCTCGATGGGTTGTGAAGGCTGTGTCTATAAGGGGTGTCCTCCGTAGAGTGACCCTGTGTGGGACAGTCTAGACCTTACCTGTCTTCAGGGTTCAGGCCACAGCAGGCTAGCTGCCTAGGGAGATCTGAGAACCATCCTTGTGGCCAACCCAGGATACTCCTGGACAGGAGGAGGTCGAGGCCCGGGGTCCTTTCTGTACTTCACCCACTGCTCGCCGCTGCAGCTGCATTGCTAGGCACTGCATGGATCTGAGGTCTTTCTGTTCCCTCTGGTCTGGAAATTGAAGCTTGGAGTTGGAGCACTTGCTAACACTATACCAACAAGAACAAGATTGGAGTAATAAGAGCATTCTCTGTTGTACAGCTAGTTTCTTCATCTTTAAAAGTAAAGGAAGGTGTTCCAGGGACAGAGACAGTTAGGACACCTCACTTATTTTGGATGATCCCATAGTGCCACCTGCTGGTCAGATTTAGAGAAGCAGCCTGAGACCACCTAAATGCGTGGTACAGTTAGAGGAACTTAGACATAGTAAGCAGAAACAGTAAAACCCTATGACATTTAAATCTTTAGTGTGAGACAAGCCATAAAATGGATTTAAATGAAATAGGCATGCTCCTGATCAATGCTCAGAATTACAACTCAAGTAGAGGTACGGGTATATGCGATGGTGTGTGTGGTCCTGTAGGAGTGATGGTAGAGAGGGTCTTGCCAAGGTAACTGCTGAGAAATGATCAGAAGTGAAAATCACCTGTGTACTTGTCTGTAGAGGGCAGAGTGCTTGCAGAATAGAGTTAAGATAGCAAGAAAATGAAGGAGTAGGGGCCAAATTACATAAGGCCCTGACAGTAGAACACCAGGCCCAACGGGGGGGGGGGGGGGAAGCATATCCTTTAACACAGCAAGGGTGCTGTGTTGAGAAGGGGTGGTGGGAAGAGCCCAGGGCAGAAACAAGGAGTTGCATTAGCGCTGTCTGGTGGTCTTAGGTGCTGGTGTAACATGAATGGATAACTGACAGAAACTGTGACTGGGTTAGGAATGAGGTGTGAGAGAGTGACGTTTGTGTGACTCTAGTGTACTTACGCTGTGTACACCATTCACACTGACCTGCCACTGGCTGGAGCAAGCTGGGCTGTACATGGGAGCAGTGTGGGCTGTGCAGGGTTTACAGGTGACTGTTCTACCACCAAATGTAGATGTTGCGGACATTTTCTTCTTCATCTTTACTTCCCTGGATCACTCTTCCCATGGGTCAACACTTCTAGGTAGCCAGTGCTGAATTCTCTTGTTTTCCCAGGAGACAAATGTCCTAGGCTTCAAGGGACCTCGGAAGATGAGTGTGATCGTCCCAGGCATGAACATGGTTCATGAGAGAGTCTGTATCCGCCCCCGCAATGTGAGTCTCTATCTAATGCTTCCCCAGGCTCCAACCTCTGTATGAGTTTCTAAGAATTCCATCAAGGTGTATGCATATGGGTCGAGAAACCCTGTAAGTCTAGGGAACACTAAGAAGCCTCATTCCTAGGAAAGATCCCTTTTGGGGTGGTTATGATGCCAAGTCTTGGGTCTGACTCAAGTGAGGCTCCCCACACCCCACCAGGAACACGAGACCCTGTTAGCACGCTGGCAGAACAAGAACACGGAGAGCATCATTGAGCTGCAGAACAAGACGCCAGTCTGGAATGATGACACACAGTCCTATGTACTTAATTTCCACGGGCGCGTCACACAGGCTTCTGTGAAGAACTTCCAGATCATCCATGGCAATGACCGTGAGTGTTGCCGCTCCTGTTTTCGATGTTGTACGCATGGTGCCCCCTCTCCCCACACACAATCCAGTCCATACCAGCCAGTGGCGGGACGTGGGTATATGGCTTTTGTTAGAATTTTCTAACTATAGTGATTTAGAGCCCTGCCCCTAGATTCTTTGTGTCCAGCATGTCTGGGGAATACCCTTTAAATGGATGTCTTTTCTTTCCTGTGCCCTGCTGTCTGTATGCATCTTCTCCCTTTACCCTCTTGCTCCTTACACTTCTTTTGAACCTTTGTTTTTTCATCCTTTGGATCTCTTTGGCATTTCTGCTTTTTCCTTCCCTCCTTTGCCTGTGTCTTACCTGGCCTTTCTGTATTCCACCATTCTTTCTTGTGCCTGCCACAGCGGACTACATCGTCATGCAGTTTGGCCGTGTAGCAGAAGATGTGTTCACCATGGATTACAACTACCCACTGTGTGCACTGCAGGCCTTTGCCATTGCTCTGTCCAGCTTTGACAGCAAGCTGGCCTGCGAGTAGAGGCCCCCACTGCCTTTAGGGTGGCCCAGTCCGGAGTGGAGCTTGCCTGCCTGCCAAGACAGCCCTGCCTACCCTCTGTTCATAGGCCCTCAGTGGGCTTTCTGGCCTTACCGACCAGAAACTGGCTGCTCTGCCTCTGCTGCTGAAGCAGGGGAACAGCAGATGGGTATGACAGGAAAAGAGTATTTCTGTGCCCCAAGGTCAACACACATACCTAATCCTGGGTCAGTCCCCCGCTGCAGTTGTGTTTACCACGCTGGAAAGCCTCTTCAACTGGAGGTACAGTGGGAGAGGAAGCACAAGCAGGGCTGCTGTGGCTCAGCCATCCACTCAGCCTATAAGTCAGAGGACAATGGGTGTCCCAGGAGGTAGGGGTACAGTGAGTATATGTGTATGTATAGGGCACTTGAGCTTTATGCAGCAAAGGCTCTTGTGGCCAGCAGAAAGCGCTCCCACTTCAGAAGGGCCCGTTAGGCCCAAAGAGGGTTAGGGTGGTAGGGATAGGTGCATGGCAGGACCCTGCTAGGATTGCAGGGGCCTGGCTATGTGTGTTAGCTGGTGGCTTAGAATGCTAGCTCATTTGTTGCTTCAGACTTGCCCAGTGCTTGCACAAGCAAGAACCCAGCTCTCAAGGCCAAATATCTGAGTGGATGGGGATCATAGGAGTCATCCAGGAGACTCCCTACGTCAGGGTGCTGAGCAGCCCCAGCACAACACCTGTGACACACACATGGGATCTAGGTCACCATTCAAGTGATGGTATACTTCAGGAAGGATGTTCTCTCTGGGAAGACTCAGCTCCCATTGTTGCCAGCATGCCATGATCAGTGAAGGCTGTATGCCGTTCTTAGGGGATGGAGCAGGGTGAGGGGAGCAGAGGATAGTTTAGGGCCACAAGAGCTCAGAGGTGGTAGTACTCTGTACGGCTCACCAAAAGCGATGCTGATCCCTGAGTACAAGGCACTTGTCTCTTGGTTACCTAATGGGTTAGTGGCAGAATTGAGAACCTCGGGTTCTTTGTTCCTACTGTTGCCCAGAAACTAGACTCTCTGACCTTCTGGAGTCTATTCTGCATGTCCTTTCCCTCCCCAATTCCACAGATCAAGACCCTCAGAGTTAATGTCTAAGGTTGAAAACCTTTCAGTAGGGAATCAGGCAGTTCCCTGTTGAAAGTTGTCTGAGATTTTGCACAGCATTCTGATGTGATGTGGCCTGTGCTTGGCTCCTCTATGAGGACTTCAAGCTGTATGCAGACCTCAGCAGGACCACTGCACACTTTGTGTGTGACAGGCAGCCCGAGGGTTCTAGGGCTGGGCCTGGACATGATGGCACCACTAATCTGGTGGACTTGGGAACTCCAAGCTCTTGCCCATGTGCCATTTGTGAGAAGCTTCTTGCCTAGATGGAGATGAGAACCAGTGGGAAGAAGCAAAGAACATTTAGACATTGCTTTTTGCTTTGAAATAGATATGCCTGGGAAGGCTAAGTAGAAATTTAAAAAGTAGAGTCATGCTTTGAATCTGAGGTTCTGCAGGTAAGGAGGCTGGATTGATGTGCTAGAAGGAGTATTTTAAGAGGATCTAGCTTTCCTAGGTTGGACACTCCAAGCGAGGCACACCTGCTACAGCAGGGTCTGACACACCTGAGCCAGACATCTCCATCAGAGAACCCTCAGTGAGGCAGCCTTTGTTTACAGTCTAGTTTCTGGAAGGCAGGAGGACTTCCATGCTGGGGCTGGCCTATCTCCTGATGAAAGATTACAGTGCCATCTCCTTCCCATAGTTCTGTGTCTGTCCTCCCTCCCTCCCTCCCTCCTTCCCTGACTTTATAAGGAGAAATATCCTAACATTAGAGGTGATAGAAACCAGGTCTTTAGTCTAGTCAGGCTGTTTTTCTGGGTTGACACGTTTAAGGTTGAACAGACTGATTTCTGGAATCTCATGAGTGGAAGGCACGCTGGAGGTAAGAGTGGAACTGGAAGCACAATGGAAAACTCTTGGCCTCTGCTCTCTGCTTTACCACATGAAAAGGGGGGTCTTGGCTATTTGAATATAAATTTGGTAGCACCAGGAAATAGGCTGAGCTTTGTAGCCCACTGTGGAGAAGAGCAGCCTCAGCACAAAACTCTCTGTTGGGCACTGAGTGACAAGACCAGCCTCACAAAGTCAGATCTGAAGACTCAGCTCCTGGTGACAATGCCTTTTCTTGACCACTGGCCCTGTGAACACAGGCCCAAAGACTTCAGATACCGGGGCCCCAGGGATGACCTGGGTTCAGCCTCTCCCACAGTAGGATTTCTTACCCCTCATGCCCTCTTCCTGTTGGTCCTTGGCTGCGTAGCAAACTGATGAGATGAGCAGTCTAGTCTGTAAGAGTACGAGGCAGCTGGAACCTTAGGCATCTCCTCTGTATGCTCCTGGCTCCACACCCTAAAACTCTCCACCCTCTGCTCCAAAACAGTTCCTCTGCAGAGTGGTGATGTTAGCTTCCCCTTCTCTTCTCTAAGTCTAGCTTTTTCTGTCCTTCTGGCTCCAAGGTGCTCTGTGTCCGTGTGTGTCCGTGTGTGTCCGTGTGTGTGTGTGTGTGTGTGCGTCCAGAGGAAAGGGCAATCTGCAAACAACGAACAGAAGTTTAAGATCACATCAGAGTAGGAAAAGAATAAGGGGGCAGTGGTGACCACCGTGGATGGTGCCCCTTCAGTCCATGCTCTTTCTCCCATGGTTCTGAGCAGGTGACTGTCAAGGAAGTGTAGCGTCAGTTCACTGGAGGAGGAGCCGAGATGTGCATTCTTTTAAATAAACATGGTGTAGTGATGGTGCCTTAACAATCTTGACAGTAAGGTGAAGCAAGCAAGTGAGGTGCATGCCAATGGAAGACAGGCGTTGGAGGCCAAGGTGTGTGGTAACAGACTGGAAGAGAACTTTTGGTCCTACCGTCTTCAGTGACAAGGCAACAATACTGTAGAGTGGATTTGTTCATTTTTTTCTTTCTCCTTTCTGGAAATGGCAGGTCTGTTTGCCTCAAAACATGTAGAAGTGGTTCTAAGTTTAACAAGCAATAGAGATGACTACTTAGGGTCTGCTGGGAGCTCTGCTCTGCAAGCACAACACCCATCTCACAGATGGGCAGCCTGGCTTCCCTCATCAGTAGTCCTCTTCCCCTTCTCTGTAGTCCTTGCCCCAGATACGATATCCTCATGGGATTTCAGGATGCCAGGTGCCATCAAAGTATGCTTTCTTGTGGTGCCTAGCACTGTGACTGGGGCCCAACTGCCCTGCTGAGTTGGGACCTTATACTGCCCTAGGCCCTGGCTTGTAGACCTGCTCTAGTCTTCAGAACAGGCTATGGGATAGATTTTTATTTCAGTTTATGACCACCTGCCCTAATTCACTTCCAGCTTGCAATCTTCTGTCATTTTAAAATCTTAAGAAGTACTGGGATGGGTTTGAGTTTTCAGCACAGAGACAAGTGGATCGAGGAGCATACAACTGTACTGAGCAGCTAGAACATTTGAGCAAACTATGTAATCTCTGTGTGTGTTTCCTTCCCTGTAAGATACAGGCCTGCAGAGCTTGCTGTAGGGGTTAGGGTAAGTGAAAGTTAGTCCTGGCTCTCATCACTACCTTTCCTAGCTCATCACTGTGCCTTCTTTCTTTCCTGAGAAAGACACTGCACCCCTCTCCTCTGTTCTCCTGCCCCTCCTCCCCCACTGAGGTCCAGGTAGTGTGGGAGATGAAGCTGAAATGTAGTGTTCTATAGAGCATCTCAGAGTAGCATAGAAGGAAAAGCCCAGCTCCAGCCTCCTGGACCCCATACTGATGACTGGCTTGGTGAGGACAGGCAACACTTCTTTAGCTGAGAGCACACTTAGCCAGTTTTCACGCCTAGAACATGTATGTCGATTTGCACATGATTGTCTTTTCCTATTTTGGAGTGGTCAGACATTTTATTTTTGTTCAAAATTATCTGGAGTTTTAGACAAACTTGCAAAACTGTGCTTTTATTAAGTGACTTTTTGAATAAACTTTTTGGTATTCTGAAGCAAATGTATTTATTTATTGGTATGTGCAATGACAAACTTGGTATTTTCCCATGACATTATGTATGTTGTAGAATTTAGTGTTTGTCTAAGTACAGACATGTATCAACAAATTAAACTTGAACTGTTTGACTGCTGTGTCCTTGTTTTTCATAGAGAGAAGAAAACATGTCTCTCCTAAAATGTTCTCCACTCCATTCCTTGCTAGGTGCTTCAAAGGGCCAGGTGGGTAAGAGCAGCAAAGAGGGCCCAGAGCATGTTTAGTACCAGTGACATGAAGATCAACACTGCCTTCTCCTGTGGTGCCACATCTATAGCATGGAAAAAATAGGGTTAGAAGATACTTCCAGGTCATCTAGGTCACTGAAAGAACTGGCTGATAGTTCTTAAGTATGTTTGGTGGGCATGGATGGCCCTTGTAGACAGAACTAGGTTGTAGTACTGATAGGTGGGAAAGGCCCACACATGTGACTGCAGGCCATTCTTGGAGCTGGGTCTATCTAAACAGGGTTCTTACATGTGAGGGAACCTTTGTCAGCCTGTGGTAGATTTGGAGCCAACATGATGAAAGCCTGTAGTTGTTCTTAAAGGGAGTCATCACAAAGTCACACAGACCCCACAGAGTGACTCTGGACCATTCTTGGCACGCAGAGTGGCCACAGAGCGGGTATCAAGTTGGGTAGTCCAGCAGCATGAGATTCAAGACAGTGATGGTGCTCAGTACCTACCATTGCACACTTCACTCTGGGACAGACACTCCATAAACAGTCCTGTAAGGTGGACATGATGATTCCTGGTCCATCCACAAGGAAAGTGGTGTCCTTTGAAGTGAAGGAATGGCCTGTTTTCTTGATACTAGAAAGTATTTTAGACAGGCTAGTGGTTAAGGAGGTTACAGAATAGTTGGTTTGTATCCTTCCTCATCACTGCCCAAATAGGTGACACACACAATGTTCTTTGCAGATACAAACTGTCTAAATAAAAAGGGGAATTTAAGAGCAAATCTATAATTAGAGTTTATGTATTTACTTAGCTAAGTGTTTTGATGTGAGTCAAAAACATTCCCTACCTGAACATGGCCTGATTCCTGTAGCGACTGCATTTGTGAGGAGACCATATACAGGGTATTCTACAAGGGAAAGAGGTTTTGTTTGTTTAGTCATCATGTTGAAAAAAAAATCCTAAATTGTGTAGAACACATGTTGAGGAAAATCTTGTTTTACACCTATTACCTCTGGTGTTTACTCTTGATTGCCAACTTATGGGACTTAGAGTCACCATGGAAACATACTTACCTATGAAGATGTTTATAAGAAAGTCTAGTTGAGGAGGAAGACCCAACTTACTATGGATAGCATCACCCCTTTGGCTGGAGTCCCAGACTGACTAAAAGGGGCAAAGCAAATCAAGTGCTGTCATTTATCTCTCTGCTCCCTGTGAACCAGTCCTCTGGCTCCTGCTGCCCTGAAGGAAGGACTGCTCTCAACTATATGCTCCTCCTGTATTGTTACCTTTGACATAGCAATGAGAAAATTTAATTATGCCATGAGTCTTAGTTAGGTTTCTTTTTTCAGAGTGTCTGAGTGCAAACCATAAGTTATTTTATTATCTAAGTCTAAAAAAGATCATAGTTATCATAGGCTGTTATTTCTAGAGGCCAAATCCATCTCCACTTCTCAGCACACCTCCCAGGCCCAGTCCCTGAGACAATGAGGTACAGTCTGTGTTCCTATATAACCAAGCTAAGGGATCTTCCAGCTGGTCACTCATCTGACTTACCAAGCATGCTCCTAGGTGATGTGCAGTGGCTTTTTAGGCCAACTACTGCTATGGTGCCCCAGAGGACACTGCAGACCTAATGGCAAGGCCTTGATGAAGCCCTTAGTACTGAGAAATGAAATCACAACAATGAAACTGAGTCCCTTGATGTTGGTCATCCTGGATTGGATGTACATGTAAAATCATATCCAAAAGATACAGTTCTAGAAAATAAACAAAAAAGCCTATATTCTAAATTACTAATAGGTACTTTAAAGTTTCCAGCATATACAAATAAATATATTCCTATATGCAGACTAACATCTAGAGTGGCAAGAACCATGAAGGATCAGTCCTTCTGGCAGGAACTGTTTCCATAGCCGATCCTCAATAACAGAGTTGGCTCTAAGTCCTTTTCATCTGATTATCCATCTATGCACCCCACTGTTCTTGCTAACCTACTCTTTCTGCCCAGATGGCCTTTCCCTTCCTTGCATGGTCTTAGCTTGCCACAAAGTGTCTTCTGAAATTTATTGTACTTTGGCAAAAACATTCCTGTTCTTCTGTGCTCCTATAGTTTGGGGTCCACACTGTAATTAATAAAACAGCTACCACATGATATGTTGTTATGCATGAGCTAACAACATAAGCATGCCACCCTATGTGCACTGACTACCTCATTTATAGCTTACAGCCATGTAAGACCTGTGTTTTTACTACCCTAACTTTACAGATGCCCAAACCAGGCTCAGATTGCCTAAGGAAGCCAATCTAAATCCTACAGCCTAGTTGCAAGGAAATCTGCCTGAAGAATTCACAATCTCAGGCCTTCCTACGGTCCACAGTGAATCTGTCAGACTTGCATATTAAGTCTTCTTAGTACTCAGCACAGGGCAGTTGTCCAACAAATGAATGAGAAGGAAACAAGTTTTTATCTAATAACAGAATTATATCCTATGTTAGAACCAGTGACGGCGCTATCCTAAGTCAACTTCTCATGGTAGATGTCAGAACCATCTAGAAAACAATCTGCTAAAACAAGAGTACCTACATTGCTTTTTACACTTAGTTATGTCAAGACTGCATTCTGCACAGTTTCAACCAAACATTCTACACAGGGATTGATACAGTGCAGCGTGTTTTTAGACTCACTCTTAAGGGTCTTCTCTAGTCCAATTAACATGTAAAGCTTTCTAGTAGCTGACAGTATCTTAGTGTGGTTTCAGACTTTCTGATGACAGCCAGTACAGTATGCTCCTGAATGGCCCAAACTGGCATCATATTCATGCCAGGTACAATAGGACGCTAAAGACTGTATCCAGCTTCACATAATTCCTAAAATTTTGAGTCTCCCATTTCATGACTGGGAATGTTGGAGATACACAGCCTTTCAGTTTTCAATTCATGTAACTGAACTGACTCACCCTTGTTAGAATTCTTAGGTTCCATCTTGTCTCACAAAGACATTGTTTCCTGAGCTCCTCATGGAAGGACCACCATACTTAAGCAGTCCTGTAGCTTCAACAGCCTCAAACTTCAGCTCTGTGGGACACAAACTAATGCTTCAAATTCCCTCTAGCCACAGAAGACATTCAAAGGCGCAGATTTGGCAGTTCTGTTCAACAGAATAAGGACAAAGGAAGCTAGGGATTGAGGGAATATACAAGCGAAATGGTCTCCAAATAGGCCTGTGAGTTCATGGCTGTTGCTCTGGAGGAGTCAGGGTATCTTAGAAGGCTATGAGGAGAGATTGCAGCTCAATCAGCTATTTTGCTGTGCACTGGGCCCCTAGCCTCAGAACAAAGCATGCTCTTCTCAGGGGACCACTAACCAGCTGAAGGCCCAAACAATAAGGCATTTGGGAATCTAAAATCTTCATTCTTAAAACTTAAGTCCTCAATATCTGCTAACCCAGTTCTCACTCAGAGCCATCCTATCCTAACAAATCCATTCAATAAGTCATTCATAGGTAAATCATCTGTTGCTCCTATGAGGAGGGGTCAGATGTCTGCCTAGGTGGTACCACCTGCAAGCACAAGCAGCCATACACAATTACTGAATGGGTTAGTGTCTCAGATAGGGAAAGGCAAGAGGAGAAAGGTGATTCTGTCCAATGTTTACACTAATGGCTACTTTACAAAGTGACAGGTGTGCAAGCACCAGGAAGGATAGACTGTATCCATGGTAGTGGCCCAAGAACTATGATACTGAACACAGAGAAGGATGCAGAGGGAACAGGGCCATGGATGAAACTGAGGAAAGGTGCCATGGGAACAGTAATGGATACTTTTCCAAGCAGGCTGCTTTCACTCAAAACCCTGGGGGTTGCGCTTCCTTAGCATGCCACCCATGTGTGTGTTATCAGTGCTGATGCCCAGCCCTTCATTTGTAAAGTCTTGGGGCAAGTTTTCCTTGGTGGTTTCCTCTTGCTCACTGTAGCCATCTGCACTGAAACAAGCATTCTCTGCCAAGACAGCAGGATCCTCCTCTTCATGAAAACAGCAGGAGCATGACTCTGGTTTAGGATCACACAGGGTAACAGAATTCTCTTTCTGGGCTCCAGGGTCAGTGGGCAAACGATCCCAGCTCAAATGCTCTGATCCTTCCTCTTCTAACTCTCCCATTTGTTCAGCTATTTCTTCAGCAGAGGGCTCTTTTGGATCAGGGTAATCCACCAGGATTGTTTCTTGCCTACGCTTGATACCATCCGAAAGGTCATACATTGGATAAGTCTCTTCTGGGTAACCTAGAGAGGAAAGTAGCACAAAGTCTTAAAAAGAACATCTTTGAAAATAAATAGTGTCAGGATCAGAGAGGATTCTCCAGCAACAGCCATCCTGTCCTAACAAATCCATTCAATAAATCTCTAAGATGGTCCTAATAGTCCTCAAGTTTCACTTGAACAAATTCTGAGCAGTCTGGCTGACTGTCTCAGTGCTCTGTGAAATACAAACCAAGGCAGAGGAAAATCCTTTGTAAGTAAGGTGCTTGGGGTAGAGGTAAGTCTCACCCCTCATGTTTCTGCAGCATTGATAAAGATTATGCAAACAGCATGAGCCTTCAGCATTACCAGATGGAAAGGGCTTAGCTTAAGGCTAGTATTTACAATTTCTATTTGGAACCAGTTCCAAATCTTCTGGTGGGGGTGGGGCTGGGAAAAGGAATGCTAAGCTCTTTGAAAAATAAACCATAGTGCTTTCTACTTATCAGAACGACCAAAACAGTCTGTAACTGTCAGAAGCAGGGGCGAGTTAGCAAGACATGACCGACCAAGACCCCACAGGGCAAGAACTGCATTTTCAGAGACAGAACTCCCATTGTCGGCATCTTCATTTTGACAAAATGGAACAAAAGGAAAAATCAACAAACAGGGAAGCAAAATGAGTAACACTGCACCAAACCTCGGCTATGATAATGAGAAAGAGGCTGTGCTGCCAAGTAAGGGATGAAATGAAATAAGTCTGTGTGAGCCCGGCCAAGCCGGAGCAGCAGATGGGCCATGTGGGAGCTCATATGGCGGTGCTGGCAACTGGTGCTCACTACACAGTGGAAACTGGAGAATACAAATCCATTTGCACATTGATGTTAACTGCATATTCAGCTCTAACAGACACCACTTCTTGCCCATCAATTGTGAAAAACAGTGATCTTTTGGTACTAGTGAGGTATCGAGAAATATTTTTACAACATTATAAAAGTATTCAAACTTTGCAGATTTTTTAGGAGGGTAGCATAACCTTTATTTTGTTATATTTTTCTACTAGTTTTAACTAGTAGGGAACAAGTTTTAGAAGAAAACACAATTGACCCAAAATCCTACCATTGGTAATTTGTTTACTTCTGGCTTTTAAAATCATATACGCATAGTATTTTCCTGCTTTTTTAATAAAGAAGAACTATGTACTGTTGTCCTGTACATTTTCCTTTAGTATGTATCATTGGTATTTCTGTGTCATGTAGCACATGTGATTTACCATTCTTACATAAGGCATTTGAGCAGCTTTCTTCCAGCCTGTCTCCACTGTAAGCTATGTCATGGTGAGGAACTCTGTATAAACCCAGATCATCTACCCCAATTCCTCAAGATGGCCTTCTAGAAATATGGAGAGTAGGCCAAAGAGAACAGTCATTTTAAAAGACTTTGTATCCTCACCAAATTACTCTGCAGAAGAGTCAAAAATATTTCAGTTCTTCCAATGATGTAAAAACTCCCTTACCAAATCCTTACCAGCACTGACAGGAGTATCAGAATTTTGGCTGTTCAGCCTTCACTCCCAGGATAACTGTGGGCAGAGTGCTAGGTAAAACAAGAGTGCAGCTACCACTATGGTCTGAGTGTCCCTTTCCAAAACCCTTGTTGAAGCTCAATTCTCAAAGTTACATGTTAATGGTATTTTGAGGGCAGGTCTTTAGGAAGGGATTGAATCAGAAGGTAGGATTAAATCTAAAGGTAGGTTCCACATGATGGCATTCATCTCCTTGTAAGAAGAAAAACTGAGGACATCGAGCTTGCTCTGTCTGGCCATGTGACCTCTGCCATACAATGACCCAGCAAAAGAAGTCTCTGACCAGATGCCAGGTGGATGCTGACATTGTGTTCTTAGACTCCCAGACCATCAACTAGATAAACTTCCATCCTTTATGAGTGACCTCATCTGACATTCGGTTATAGCAACAGGAAATGGACAGTGACAGTTACCCAAGGCCTTCACGACCTCATGGCAGGGGCTTGCTACTTAGACCTCAACCACTGACTTCTCAAGAGAAGGCCATTTGCTTGCCTTCACTCTATAAGAGTAAAGCTCACCTTTGCATTTTGATGATTACCTGCTTTGGTGTCGGAGGGAAAGCAATTAGATTCAAGCTCTAGACCCAATCTAGCTGCCCCAGGATTCAGTCATCCTGGCCTCCATGGCCCTAGGCATCAGGGCAAGCTAGCACAAAGTCTCAGGGCAGCCCCATGACCCTACTTATGCCTATACCTAGCTATCTCTATACCAGTCCCCACAGAAATAGGATCCAGGCCTACTCAGCAACAAGTAAGCTTTAGATTCCAGACCAACTCTGAAACAGGAAACCCAGCTACATCATCTATGTCTGTCCAGAATCAAAATACATCTAGAATCAGAAACCAAGTTGCTAAATGTAGACACGGGACCCAGACTTATCTGCTGATGGTGCAGACCTAAAGCTAATTTCCACAGACTGGTGGATTCAGGACCCATGCTCAGTTCAGTAGATGTGAGAACTAGACAATACATAGCACCAAGCTTCTAGAACACCTCTGGATCCCATAGTCCCAGGACCTAAAGGAACATCCTCAAGATTTTCTAATGCCGTATAGGCCCTCAGACTGCCCCAGCACCAGGCCAGACCTTCTAGACTCATGTTTCCAGGCCCACTTCAACACTTAGCCTTAGACTCAGTTTTATAGCTCATTCCAACTCTAGTTCATCTCCTGGGGGATCCAAGCTTTAAACAAGCCACCTAAAGATACAAACAAAACAACAACAAAATTTAACCTTAAGAAAGACTGAAGAAAGGAAAGAACAAAGAGAATCTACAAAAGAACCAGATAAAAAACTACCATAACAACAGTCAGAGGTTAGTGAGATAGGTCCACTGGGTAAAAGCACTTACCTTACCACCAAGCCTAAAATCTTGGGGTTCCATCCCCAGGACCAACATAGTGGAAGGACAGAGCCAAGTTTGATAGGGTGTCTGACCTCCACATGCACACTATGGTGCACACTCACATGCATACGAATACACATACAAATACAAACAAAACTAAATGTAATAAAAATCTTAAATGACACTAGTAAGTCCTTACCTATCAATTGTTACATTGAATATAAATGGGTTAAATTCTCTAATCAACATAATGGTGAAAAGATTTAAAAAAATAAAAAGGCCTAACTCTATGCTAGTTATGAGACACTCATTTCAGCTCTAAGGGCATACATAGAGTGAAGGAGAAAGGACAGAAAGAAGATATCCCATATAAATTGAAAAACTAAAAAACAGTATCTATATGTAAGTAAAACTAATGTTAAATCCAAAACTATTACTAATGACCCACCTGAATGCTGAAGTAGCTCATGTCAGATGACTTAATACTGTAAAACATCTTTAAAAAATATAAGCAAACAACAAAGATTCATTGCTTCTATGAAAAACACAGCAATTCAAAACATGAGAACCAAACTAAGCAAATTATATAGCAGCCACTAATAAAATAGTCAACACAGGAAATAGGATTTAACATGTCAACTTATCCCTCGTGACATTCAAGAGGATACAGAGTAAACGAAAAACAGAACTACTGTAAACAGAAAGGCATGATCACAAGATAAAAAATTATACCCACGAATAAAGGTCAAAAGATTAAGATGAATATGTCTGAAAATCAAATCCATATATTAGAAGTTCACACTGAAGAATTCTGTAACAAGATATAAATGACAAAGAAATGAAAATTCTGAGAAATTGTGGAGGTTGATCAGTGTACCTGATTTTTAATCACTAGACTGCGAAATCAAAGAAAAATACATCAAAGCATTAATAAAAAAAAGTATGAAAGAAAACATCTATTCACTGAAGGAAGGCTCACAAATGGCTCAGCAGAAGTAGTATAAAAACACATTCATGTTTACACAGACAGAACCAATGGCTGGGACTGAATTCAGACTTTTAAATATAAGATGAAAATAAATTCCAGATAGAAAACGCATAGCTAAACTAAAACCAGGTTACTTACTGAGAAAAGAGATCAGACTTGTTTTCAATCAAATAAAAAGTACAGAGTGAAGAAGGATTTTCAGATTTTTTTTTTAAATGCATGAGTGTTCTTCCTGCACAAGTGTCATACACATGCCTGGTGCCCAAGGAGGCTAGAAGGATCCCTTGAAACTGGAGTTACAGATGATTTTGAGTAACCACGTGGGTTCTGGAGATTGAACCCAGGTACTCTGGAGGAGCAATCAATGCTCTTACTCACTGAGTTGGGTCTCCAGCCCTGGATTTTCAGATTTTTAAGGAAAGGCATGGTTGTGAATATTCTTGCAAGATGAAAACTCCATATACATATCCAAGTATTCTGAATTTATGGTACTTTACATACAGTAAAAATGCCTTAAGTCTTAAGTGAATGTGTCATTTCTACATCACTGTAATGAAATGCCAAAGATAATTAGCTCATAAGAGAAAGGTTTATTGTGGTTGAAGGGTCTGGAGATTCTAGCCCAAGATTGGGTAGCTCATTGCTTTAGGCCTCTGGCAAGAGCAGCACCTTACAACAGAAGCAAGTGGCAGAGTCAAATTGCTTACAAAGGCTAGAAAGTAAAGAGGAAGTGATTGGGGTGCCACACAAAGTCACCTCTAAGGACACTCACAAAAAGAGCTAAGAACCTTCCCTGACACCCCACTTCCTAAGAGTCCACATCCCAGTAGTGGCAGTTTAGGGACTAATCCTTTAACATGTAAACATCAAAAACATAGCAGGACATTGTCTTAACAAATACAAAAATTTACCAAAAGTTAAAGTCAGCAGCTGTGAAGCTAGACATAAGAAAGTGGTGGCAGGTGCTCAAGCCTGTGATCCTAGCTACCTACGATGCAAGGTATAAGGCTATGTAGTCAGGCCCCGTCACAAAACAAACCTTTTAAACAGTCTGTAGACAGAGCTCAGTGGTGAAGCACTTCCCTAATATGCAAGTTATGTTCAAAGACCATAAGTTCAATTCC